GGCCATCTGGACCTCGAGGGAGCCCCACTCCAGAGGGCAGGCACTATGGCAGAGAGGGTGCGCTTCCAGGGTCCCAACAGACGGCATTCTTTAATCAAGGGGACCTGGAGGGTGCCAACCCTGCTGGATCAAATCAGCTGGGCAGATACTAATGGGAGACAGGTGGTCCCTCCAGTAACCAGGCTCTGTGCCTCTTAAGCTGGTCCCTTAGAAAGCTCATCACCAACCATCACTGAACAGGGAGGGAACTTCACCATCAGGACATCTGTCTTACTCTCTTGGGTCCCTCAACAGAGATTCCCTCAAGATCTCAGCTAACAGAAGGCTGGTATTCATGAGGAAAGGCATGAAATAGCTAAATTTCAAACATCATCAAAAGTGTCTTAAACTTGCTTGATGTCAGATCATCAGTCAATGAGGTGCCTTTGGAACAAGAACCAGCTGGAGCAGAAAAAGATGCTTTCTGCTGTAGGATCAATTCCACCAATCACAATGTCTGTAACCCTAACCCTAACCCTAACCCTAACCCTAACCCAAAGTTTCCCCATCCCTGGCACAGTCTATATGTCAATCTAGTCCCAAAGTTCACATTCAGTGCTACCTACCCGACCAATAGTGGCTTTGTAGGTCATCTTGATCTCCTGCCGTTGGGACAAATTCCTGCTGACCAAAATCTCAATGATAGCATCTTCATCGGTACCTGGGACAAGAGACTGAAGATTCAGAAAAGGGCAAGAAAGATCAGCAGGGAACAGAAACTAAGATCCATGGAGCAGAATGTGGGGAGGAGCTGGTGGGGCTTCAGAAAGAGGCAGGTGAGATTGAGTACATGTTTGGCAAACAGAAAAGTCCAGGTATTCAGGGCCTCCAGGTGAAAGGCCAAGGCAACCGGTAACAGACCAATGTTTGGGTCTAACTCCGAACAAGGCCATTTCTCATGGTCAGTTCGGTGCATTCCGAACTGCAGATTTCTTTTATGAGTACTCTCTGCACAACGTAAGCTTAGCCTTTCCACTTCCAGCTGGGCGGGCATTACAATTCCCAGCTGGCATAATCTTCTGGTTGGAAATTCTGCGTGCTCCAGTCCAAAGGGAACCTGAAGGGTGCCGTGTAAGAAAAGGTGATCTAGCATATTGCATGCTTTCTAATGGCGCGATCAAAGGGGACTTTGAAGCAGAAGCATTATAACTTCAGAGTGCTAAATCAAGAATATCCACAAGAGGCAATCAAGAATAAAACACATGACTCACCCAACCCTTTCATAGCTTTGCGGAGCTTCTGGGCATCAGCATCAGGGTTGAAGTTGGAAGCTCCCCTGATGGTTCCTCTGTTTCCTGCCTTAAAGCCACAGAATATCAACAGTCAAACCCCAGAAGACATGGAATGACAGAGTAAGCAAGAAACCCCCCCAATGTATCCCTCTGGACTTCGGAGCAGCAAGAGAATGTGGATAAGGAGGCAGCTCTGAATTCAGGCCAACTTTCCCCAACCTGATGTGTTGGGATCAGGCCTCCCCGAACACCAAAAGACAATTTAGTTTTGCAATATTCTTCCCAGCTACCCAGCAGGAATCTCACAAGGATCCTAGTACACTCTTAGTAGTTGTGTTAACCTTTGCAATGGAAGCAACCGATGTTTTGGGCACCTTAAAGGCTAATAAATGTATTTCAGCCTCAACGTTTGCTGACTGCTATTGTCCTATTCAGACTGGAGTGTATGGTTACAGGGGAGGGTTGTGAGTAAGGCCACAGCAGGGGAGGACAGAGAGAATCCCCTCCGTTATGTTCACTCACTGTGCTGCAAGCTGTAGAAAAGTATTTTGCACAATGACATCATGATGGGTCATGATATCACGGATGGTCAATGTCGCAGAGTTGATAAGCAACTTACCCAAAGCTGCAGCTCAGGTCAAATGGGGGCACAGGGAGGGACAGGAGAGAGGGAGCAGCTGGGGGGGCATCGATTTCCACAGAATAAAACCCCTCTGGGTAAACAGGGCAGGGAGGAAGCCAGCCAACCCAGGGGCAGTGGGATCTTGCTGTCCTGCCCAAGCAGGAAGAGGAAGCAAGATGAATTTCAAAGAGCAGGTTGGTTGTACCTGAGCTCAGGGGACAAGAATGCCAGCCCAGCAACTCCTTGTCAGCCCGAAGATAAGACCTTTTCTCCCTTCTGCAACTCTGAGATCAATTCAGCTAGCGGCAGGCGGGGAAAGGACACTTCTCGCTTTGTTCACTGTATCCCCTACTGCTCCCTTTCACAGCAATGAAGGTGTTTATCCTCTAATAAAGTCTGGGACTGGCACACACCCCTTGGTCTCTCCGTGGGACGAGGGCTCTGCTGACGATACAGGCAAGGTCAGAAGAAGAAACTCAGAGATTACAGGTGCAAAGGGCCACTGTGCCCACCAAACCCTGTTCAGTCCCAGAATAAGGATTCTGTGCTTTTGACCTGCCTTCGAGTCAGTCTTGACCCCTGGTAACTAGCTGGACAAGCCCCTGCGAGTTTTCTTGGCAACATTTTCAGAAGCGGTTTGCCTTTCTTCTTCCTAGGGCTGAGAAGGAGGGATTGGCCCAAAGTCACTCAGTTGGCTTTGTGACAAAGGCAGGGCTGGAACTCAGGGTCTCCCGGTTTCTAGCAGGGTGCCTTTAACCACCACACCAAACTGGCTCTCTTATTTGCGCCAATCTTGACTCCTGATGACCACATGGATGAGTCCCTGCAGTTTTCTTGGCCCCATTTTTGGAAGGGGTTTGCCCTTGCCACCTTCTTCCTGGGGCTGAGCGGGAGGGACTGGCCCAAATTCCCCCAGCTGGCTTCCGTGCCAAAGGCAGGACCAGAACTCACAGTCTCCCGGCTCCTGATCCGGTGCCTTTAACCACCACACCAAACAGGCTCCCAAGGAAGTTATCAGGAGCTGCCATCTATGCCTGGAACTGATGAAGAATTTTTAGCATGCTTTCAGGGTCACCCGCAGAGCAGGCCAAGATGGCAGGTCCATCTCACAGATGCCCCTGCCACTGCGGGTAGCTTTGGGCTGCGACAGAAGCTTTGCAGGTAGAATGCCAACTGCCAATTAAAGAAAGGCCTGGAGAAAACCCTCCCCCAAAGCCTCGCGAGCTGGAGTGGGCCACCCTGAACCCTGTGGACTGGCAGTCCAGCTGGCATAAAGCAGTTTCAAACAGCCTCAGAGCTTGTCTATGCAATGAAAATACAGAAGGGAGGAAAAGATGGGAAGGTTAATTGGGTTTGCACGTTGGGCTAAACCAAGGTTTAACTATGGCTTGCTGAAGAAACCACAATTGGCTCCCTCGGCACAAGAGACACAGCCGTAGACCGCTGTTCACCGCACACGATGGCTGGGGTCCCCCCGTTCGCTGAATCCAAACTAATGGAGCCATATTTAGATTCAGCACGACCTGGACAGGCTTGTGTCTCCAAAGGCAAATTACGCTGCGCAGCAGAACACAAACTATCAGCTGCGCCTGACACCGCTCACCACCTGCCACTTCAGCTGGCGCACCAAGCCCTCTTAGCGGTACCCGATGCTAACATTTACCCTGACAAGAAGGCTTCTTCCGTCTGTTTAATTAACCAACATCTCAGACATTGACCCCCTTTATCAGATCCTGGTGCTCCAGGCGCCGCCTGGTACTGCCAGCGAGCAAAACCACGTACCATGGCAATAAAATTTCTGCAATCCTCTAGCAGCCAGTCAGCCGTGCAGATGGTCCCTGCAATAAAAAAGGGAATAAATTCAGATAAGGCTCAGCGACACGGGGCGCCTAGTACAAGAAAGGAGCCGTTATTAACCTCTATGATACTTTCTGATATTAAAGAGGAATATTAAGCAACGTTTGATGCTTGGAGGGGTTACAGCGGGGGGTGGGGGGTGGAATAAACATCCACAGTAGGGATACCTATAACAGATGGGCCCTAGAGCTGTATGTGGGCCTTGAAGACTATGAATGTGGGCCCCCCATAATTGCATGAAATTGCCATTTTAAAAAGAGGAACTGATCGTAATACGCGTATGCAAACAATGTCATTCCATTTTAATTGAATATAAGCTATACAAAAGATAGGTTGGGCAAAAAATCAGCACGCCCTCACCCGAGGAGTTGCAGGCTCCAACAGAGCAACGTATTCAAACTGAGTTGCAAAAACACCAAACTCCCAGAATAAACACCAGGACAAATCCAGTTACCCACTGAATGTCGGAAGTCGTTAAAAAGGGCCTAAGATTTTGCTGATCATGGCAAAGCCTACTTCGACCTCGGGCTGCTTCCAAACAGACTGCATTGCGCGTCCACCTTTAGTCACAACCAGGTTATACTGTAGGCATCTGTTGGTGGGTTCATGGTAAACTGTCTACTTCGTAAATTTCCTCTCTCCCATGCATACAGGTTGTTCTCAGAACTGTTGTTTCAAAGCTTGCAGGTGCATACAGTTTCTACGGCCCCCACTGCAGGAAGCTTCTTCTCCCATTTCCACTGCAGAAGGGCCCTGAGACTAAGCTGCTCCCTCCCTTTACAAGCCCAAGAACAGGACTTCTGCTGCAAAAGGTGCCAAAAAGAATCGGCTGAGAGATCTGTCCAGGGGGACGGAAGAACTGGTCAAGGCACACTGAAGGTGTATTCACACAACATGCAAAACCTGGCTTACAGTACCAACCATCCAGAAGAGCCTTCCCAGAATTGCAGGATGGAGTGAGGTGCACCCAGGCCTTGGTCTGCATCCCTCCCTGAAGGTGGGTTGGTCTCCCTGTCGCCTTTGCTATGGCCAGCCGGTTGGCACCATCTATTTTTGTCTGGCAGCTTCTTCCTTCCTTCCTTCCTTCCTTCCTTCCTTCCTTCCTTCCTTCCTTC